CGCACTTACATGGAATACTGGCCATGCAGGTGGTGGCTTCATGTGCTGTACTACAATGTTGCCCCTCATCACACTTTTAAGTTTTTTGGGAGTGGATGAGAATGAAAAAAAGAATGCTTTGCACTCGTATTTACTGATGCCCTGTTCTGACAGGCTCTGAAAATGCTATTTTGAGGTTTGCAAAGGCAGTCTAGGAAGCCAACCGTGCAGGGCTCATAGGTAGCAAACCGTGCTTGAGCTCAGCTTGAACAGTGGCTCATGCTATGTCCACTGCTTCCTCATCCATTTGATAAGTGGATGGGCCAAAGAGGCCCCATTTACTCGTCTTGATCACTAAGATAAACTCCTTGGTAAAGGGTAGGGCACTGCAGATAGTAAGGATCTTTTTCCTCAGGACAACAGAACAAAAAAGCAAATAAGGACCCCTTTTTAATGCATTGAAGTAAAGAAATTAGGAAAGTAGTTTGTGGACAGACATTGACATTCTTAAATATGATTATTTAAGAGGTGGAGGTAGAGCCAGCTGCCATCTGTTGGCATGCTTCCCACATGCCTGCAGGGTCCAGGGATGAAGCTGGGAGCTGGGAACTCCCTTGGGGCCTTCCACACGGCAGGCGCCCAGTGAACTGGAGCTGTCACTTGCTGTCTCCCGAGGTTTGGCTATCAGGAAGCCAGGATTGGGGGCTGGAGCCATGGATTGAACCCAGGTACTCCTTATTCATGTATTTGTAAAGGCATAGTTGCAAAGAGGGGGGGTGACCTTATCTTTGTTGATTCTTTCCAAATGGCTGCCACACCTGTACTTGATCTGGTGCATTAGCAGGAAGCTGGGTCAGAAGAGGAGTAGTGGGGACTTGAACTTGCTCTCCATTACGTGATAGATCATGAACTGTAGCTTCACCCATCGTGGCGCAGTGCAGGCTCCAGTGGTCTGTTTCTTGGACACGTTGAATTTGTGCTCTTGCACTGAGGAGTGGACTCCTTGCAGCTTCTAAGAACCCTGCTACTGTCTTCTGTACTTTGCATCCTTGGGCCTGTGTAGTTTAAGGGAAGTACAGTGCTGGAAAGATTGTTGCCCTGGCTGCTCTCACCTTGGTGGTGACCTTGGAAAAACACCAAAACCAACTCATGTCTTTCGCTGCAAATTACGGCTGAATGCGTTGGTGCCTATTTCATAGGGCAGTTGGGAGAAGTGACACGGATGGTGCAGTAAGTGCAGCCTGCCGTCGTTGGTGCCTGTGCTAGCCGTTGGCTCTATGCTTTTTACTGTGGTTTTTCCTTAGCATGCTTGTGTTCCGCTATCCCGTGGTTCCTGGAGGGCCGACTCCATGGCTTCACACGGGGCAGGGAGTAGAGCCTCTGGTCGTCGGGACTGCAGCAGGCACAGTGCTTTCCTTGCTTGATGCAGTTGATGTTCACCGAATCGCCACACATGCTAAATGAGCATGCTAGTTCCCTGAGGCTGCTTCTGTTGCCTGCAGGTCACAACCTGGGTGACCCTAAAGCCAAACATTTATCATGAGGTTTTATATAGTCACATGTGGAAGAGAAATGCTTATCTTGTATAGGAACAGTGAATTTTTCCTGAAAGTATTAGTAAAAAGTAATTTAAAAATTGCAAGGCAGAACATTACCTCTTCAAGAGTAGTAGAAATGATGGAAATGATGTTCTTTTTTTTTTTTAAAGAATTATTTATTATTGAAAATGCGGATTTATAGAGAAGGAGAGAAAGATCTGTCTGCTAGTCACTCCCCAAATGGCTACAAGGCCTGGGAACTGTGCCAGTTGAAGTCAGGAGCCTATAACTTCTTCTGAGGGGTTTTTTAAAAATTCTGTTTTTATTGCAAAGTCAGATATACAAGCGGAGGAGAGACAGAAAGGAAGATCTTCCGTCCAATTGTTCACTCCCAAAGTGACTGCAATGGCTGGTGCTGCACTGATCAGAGAAGCCAGGAGCCAGGAACTTCCTCCACATCTCCCACATGGGTGCAGGGTCCCAAGGCTTTGGGCCGTCCTCAACTGCTTTCCTAGGCCACAAGCAGGGAGCTGAATGGGAAATGGGGCTACTGGGATTAGAACCAGCACACATATAGGATCCCAGAGCATTCAAGGCGAGGACTTTAGCCGTAGGCCACCGTGCTGGGCTGTAGGGGACCAGGAATCTGGGCCATCTTCACCTGCTTTCATGAACATCAGCAGGGAGCTGAAGCAGAAGCAGACCAGCTGGGATGTGAACCAGTGTACAAGTATTTGCTGGCACTGTAGGCAGAAGTTTAACTTACTATGCATAGCTCCATTCTAGTTTCTTTTTAAAATCGCTTTTTTTTTTTTTTTTTTTGCGAGGTACAAATTTGTTTATGCTGGTTCACTTCCCAGATGTCTATGGACGGGGCCAGGATGGGGCGGAGCAGAAGCTGGAAGCCTGTAACCCATGTGGGTGGCGAGAACCTGATAGCTTGAGCTGTCACCAGTGTCTCCCAGGGTCTGTATCAATAGGAAGCTGTATTCAGGAGCCAGAAGCAGAGCCAGGACTCTGATGGCACGCAGTGACCTAACCAGCAAGCTAAATGCCTCTTGTACTCTTGTTTCTTAAGAGTACTTATTTAAATGTTCTGGAAATTACCAATTAAATTTTCTGTCTGAACAGTCAATGTCTTATTGAATGAGAGCTTATTATATAATTTACTGTTGGGCCTGAAGCAATAACGTAGTAGCTAAATCCTTGTCTTGTATCCACCAGGATTCCATATGGGCACTGGTTCCCCTATGGCCTGGCTGCTCCACTTCCCATTCAGCTCCCTGTTTGTGGTCTGGGGAAGCAGTTGGAGATGGCCTAAAGCCTTGGAATCCTGCACCCACTTGGGAGACCTGGAAGAAGCTCCAGGGTCCTGGCTTTGGGTCGGCTTAGCTCTGGCTGTTGCAGCCACCTGAGAGTGAACCAGTGGTTGGAAGATCTTTCTCTGTCTCTGCTTCTCTCTGTAGATTTACCTTTCCAATAAAATAAATAAAAATTTCTGTTAAAAGCTGTTGACTAAATAAAGGTCAAAAATCAAGGAAACAAAAACAAGCCCTATTCTGAAGTCATGTTTCTGTTACAACTAACAATAGAAGAGTTTCCAATAAATTTGTTAACTAAAGCACAGACATGAATTTAGAATGCACTCAAACTTCTTAGTTACCTGCTTATGTAGCTGACTTAAGTTTTTTTAAATAAAGTTTTTTTTTTTTCTATTTGAAAGACAAACAAATATATCTTCCATCTGCTAGTTTGTTTCCCAGGTATTTGTGGTAGAAAGGGTTGGACCAGTTCAAAACCAGGAAGCAGGAATGCCATCCACGTCTCCCCTGTTTGGATCCACGTAGGAGCCATCACCTGCTGCCACTCCTGGGTGCTTGCTCGCAGCGAGAGTCAGGGGTTGACTCTGACATGGGCACATGGAGACGGCATGCTGACATCTCATGCCATCCCCTAACTGCGAGGCCACAGGTCTTCCCCTTCAGCCAGTTTTATCTGAGCAGCTGTCTGGAGATATACAGAGGAACCCTCCCTGTGCTGTTGGGAGTGTCCCGGGTCCTTACCCCCAACATGCTTTAGGAGGAAAGGAAAGCTAAGGAAGGGCTGGTGTGAACCTTGGAGTGTGAAGTATAGGTTGCAGGCCCTGGGAATGCTGCCTGTGTGCGGGAAGGAGCCTCTCCGTTGGTGGCTTACTTTGCTTCTGGGGTGACTTAGGGCCTGTAATTTTTTTTCTCACTGACCGTCATAGCCATCATAACTTAAAGCCTGTGTTGCATTGTGCTGCTTATTTGTTAGAGTTAGTGTTCTGCATAAACAAGGCCATTGACTGCAGCATCAGCCGTGCTCTTTGACCTTCGTGTTTGCAGTGACTATTCTTTTCAAAAGTTTGCTGAGAAGAAAACATAGAGATGTTGACTTTCAAATTGGAAAAGAAATACTTCTCACCATGCACTGTCTTCATCAACAAAGCTCTTCCCTTGCTCATTTTGAAAAAAAAAAAAAGCTTTATTTTTAGAGTAAGGGAAGGAAACTGGTCTGTTCTGAAACCTTGTTAGGTTTTGTGGAAGTGTAAAGCTCTCTCAGGTCCTCCTGTTCTATAGCTGGAAACAGCAGTTGCAATTAGAGTCAACATTTGAGTGTGGCTAGATCTTGCTCAGGTTTAATAGCCTGGCCGGTGTTCCCACTGCTGGTGGAGGAGAGGCCGAGGTCTCTGGAGCATGTCTAGCTCACCTAAGGCATAAAAACCAAATAGGAAGTAGGTCTGAGAATCCAACTCAACTTGGTGATGCTTTAGGACTCTTCTAAGCAATGTTTTGTAGATTCTCCTTCATAGATACTGTCCCTTAAGGATATCCCAGACTAGCTTGCCAGCTTGTTAAAACAAGGGCTTTCCCCTCTACTACCACACACTTAATTTCAGAATTTTAATGTCTAATGTAAATGTTGATGCTCTCTAAACAAAAATTCTTTGGCATTTTCAGTTTTTCTGAGTGTGGGAAGTTTTCAAGACTAGAAAGTTTGAGAGCTGCTGACCTAGTGGTTAAGGGTGCAGACTTTGGGGTTCCCAGGGCATGGATTTGAGTCTTTGTTCTAGAGTTTACTAGTTATGGGGCCTTCCGATTCTCAGACTGTTATTTGGAGAATGGGGTTATCAGTAGTGACTAATAGGATGGTGGGGATTGGATAGAACATGCTAAGTGTTTCTCTTAGGGTTGGGCATCTATTGTGGTGATTGCTGCTGCGTGACTATTGGTCTGCCAGTCTTTGAGGCAGACAGGTCAACAGCCTGATGAAACTGTGTGTGTATGTGTGTGTGTTAAAGATCTGTTTATTTGAAAGGTAATGTGCACATGGGTAAGGGGAGGAAGAGTGTGGGGGAAGAGCGATTGAATGAATGATTGGACGAATCTTTCATCCACTTCTTTCCTTCCTAAATGGCCACAATGGCCAACAACCAGGAGATGCTTCTAGGTGTCCCACGTGGGAACAGGGAACCAAGGACTTGGGCCATTTTCCACTGCTGTCCCAGACGGTCAGCAGGGGCTGGATAGGGAATGGAACTACTTGGGCTCAAACCAGTGCACATGTTGTACACCAACACTGCACGTGTTACCGTGCTGTGCCGCAGTGCCTCAGGAGTGTTTACAGTTAGTGTAGTGAGGGCTCTCAAGGATGGGCATGCTGTTTGTATTGCACTTTGGCTAGGAAGAAGTTGTTACCAAAGCGGAGGAGTGGGGTACTGCTCCAGGACCTGGCATGGCTCAGCTGGCCTGTCGGCAGGGCAGGGGGGGTCGTTAAGGACCCTTCAGAGTCCTGGGTTTCCGGGGTAGACTCACTTTCAGGCTAGAGGAAGAATGTGGCCCAGTGGGGAGTCAGCCCTGGCTTCTGCTCACCTGAGATTTCTCTTGGAGGTGGGTGTTGGCAGCCCGACCTGAGTCGGCAGCAGGGCTCTGGACTGAGAGACTGGGGATGAGTGACCTCTTCGGGCTGGAGCCGTTTTCCGTAAGCCACGACCACGAGTGACTTCCTTTGCCCCACTCGGTGTTTGCCTTGTCTCCTGTCTCCAGCAGGTTTGTGACAGTAGGCATGCCAAAGCGAGTGACGCTGCCTCTCCTTTACAGCTAACTGAATGAGAGGAGTGAGGACCTGGGCTAGGGAGCACTCCCCCTGCGTTTCCTCTGGCCCTCCCTTGGCTGCAGGGAAGGGCCTGCTCCTGGGTGTTCAGCAGCTGGAGTGGAGAGGGTGCAGGGCCTTGTGCACTTCTTGCCTGCAGGCTTGTTTTTGTTTTGTTTTTGATATCGGGCTGGAAGGGGAGAGAGCGTGGACAAACCATTTCAGGTGCACATAAACAGGCTGCCCCAACTGTATGTGTTAACTGGAAGGAAGAAGACTAATGAATTATTAGTTTGACTCTTTGGATAGGGTAGTGAGAGCTGGCTTCACCTTTCCCCATGAATTTGTCAACGATGATTTCAAAACCTGAATAAAAAGAATCCCATTTCTTTTTCAGATTTTATATTCTAAAGTGACAGGAGATGCTTTTCATTAGATCTGACACCTACATACCCCTCTGAAAAGTTTTATGTACTTGTAGCATTTATTTATTTACCTGTGGTTTCCTCAGAATAGAAGGAGATCTGTTGACGTTCAGTGTTCTTGGCTGCCGAGAAAGCAGGGCCACGGGAGTGTTGAGGGCGTGTGAGCTGTGTGAGTCCTGTTGACACGTCTGGGAGAGCACAGCGCTGGTGTTGCTTAGTGATCCTGTTTGGCACCTGTTCTTAAGGCTTACACTTGGTAAGCAGTACTTCTAACCTGGTGAATGTCCCAGAATTACAATTTCATGCACCAGAACTGCACTTCTTTTTAAATCAAGTATTTAGCAAGGCCCACCTCTGCATGACAGCCGTCCTTTGCCATACATTGTCTTGTCTGATCCCGTCTGACTCAAGCCTGTTGAGTTCCGTGAGATTTGTGTTTCACTGACAAATGTGTTACTGCATTTATTTCAATTTTGCCCTCTGCATCCCAGATACAAAACTTCATTTCTTACAGGAGAAATACACACCCCACATTTTAAACCTAGAAGCAGAGAATATTTAATAGTGAATGTAAAAAGACTATGTTTTCTTGAGGTATTTCTAGCTTCGGTTTTATTTGCTACTGTGCTTGGAACTATAAGGATGCTGAAGTTGAAGACTGGGTCTAAGAGTGGTGAGTGATGTGGCAGGCGTTGTGGCATAGTGAGTTAAACTGTGGATTGGGAAGCCTGCATCTGCTGTTGGAGTGCTTGGGATCGAATGCTTGTTCTGCTTCCTGTCCAACTTCCTGCTGCTGTGTCTGGGAGGCAACAGATGATGGCTCAGATAACTGGGCTGGCCACGTGGAAGGCCTGGATGGAGATTTGTGTTTTTGGATTTAGTACCTGGCCCCGTCCCTCGGCTTTGTGGACATTGAGGGAAGCTGAGCCAGTGGGTGGAAGGTAACTTGGTCAGTTGGTGCTGGCCTTGTCTGTCATTCTCCTGTCTCTTGTCATTCTATCTTTCAGGTGAATGAATGAATGGATGAATGAGCCTTTAAAGATTTGTCAGTGAAGTTTGTTAGAATATAAAATGACTAGAATTCTTGAACTTTAGAGTAGCACCCTTCTATGATGTGAGCAACATGTTCGTGTTCATACAAAAATGTGAACAGAAACATGAAATTAAAAAAAATAGATTTTATGTAAGGCAAAATGTTGTCTCTTCAGCATGTCATCAAACGTGTGAATTAGGTGTTTTACATGGTTGGTTTTCTAAATCCTAGGCGTGATGTATGTAGTGCAACTCACTGGGGACTTGGCATCTTCCCGGTGCGTGGATGACAACATGTGGCCAATGACACAACCAGACAGAATGGGCTTATAAAATTTGAAGTTTATTACTTAATGAAATTTAGTTAGCTTTTTTTTTTTTTTTACTACTGACTAAAATCAACATAAAGATTTGCCGAGTCTGTCATCAGGTCAATACCAAGGAGATTCTAGATCTCCTAAGTAGATGGAAGGGCCTGGGCTCTCCTCTGTGTATAGGGATGTGTGAGGAGTACTCGGCCCTGCAGCTCACTGGCAGAGCTTGGCCCACGTGTTTGTCCTTTCCTGGGCTGGACCCAATGGCTTGGCTGTCCCCAACTACTTTACCAGGCCAGACTCAGGGAACTGGATAGGAAGTGAAACAGCCGGGACACGAACCAGCGCCCACATGGGTTGCTGGTGCTTGAAGATGGAGGAGTAGTCCGTTGAGACACAGCACCGGCCCCAGCTTCATTTTATGGTGTTTCGCTGGGTGGGTATGAAATCGAGACTTGCGTACAGATGGAATGGCGATGCTGGGAACTACTGGACAATGTTCTGCCTGTGTTCTTTTGGTTTGCATTCTTTTTCAAAGGGAAAGCATTTATTGTGTGGGAGGATATGTAGTTTTAGATGAACTCATGGCAGATTTTCTTGAATAAGAATTTTTTAAAATAAGCATTTTAATACAGTGAACATACCAAGAAATGCACAGAAACATAGATGATGTTTTAAAATTATCTGGTCATATAATTGAATTATAACTAAGAATGAAGTGTTACTAGTACCTCAAGAGTCTGTGTCTTTTTCTATGTGTGAAAGAGTATATTGTCATTTACAGTATACTCTAGTCAGCAAAGCCTTATCTATTGCTATGCATGAAATGATGTAGCATCCATAGAGTTTTATACTCTGTTTTTATTTGTGGATGTTTTAATGTAAACATTGTCTTTTTTTGGCCTTGGTTATTTTACTTGACATAAACAACCTCCAGTTGCATCCATTTTGTTGCAAAGGTCAAGATGTCATTCTTTTATGTCTTGAATAATATTCCATTGTCTATCTGTATTATAATTTTTTTCTGGTATCAGTTGGATCTCTAGGTTGATTGCATTTTTTTTAAGAGTTATTAATTTAGGGCTCAGCATGGTAGCCTAATGGCTTAAGTCCTTGCCTTGCTTGCCCGGGATCCCATATGGGCGTTGGTTCCTGTCCCAGCTGGTTGCTCCAATTCCTTTCCAGCTCCCTGTTTGTGGCCTGGGAAAACAGTAAAAGATGGCCCAAAGCCTTGGGACCCTGCACTCATGTGGGAGACCCAGAAGAAGCTCTGGGCTCCTGCCTTCGGATCAGCTCAATGCCAGCTGTTGCAGCCATTTGGGGAGTGAATGAACCAGCAGATGGAAGATGTTTCTCTGTCTCTGCTCTCTCTGTATCTGTCTAACCAAAATAAATAAATCTTAAGAAAGTAGTTTATTTGAAGAAGAGCAATTGGGAGGGAGAGGGAGAGAGAGAGAACCAGAGAGATCTTTCACCTCCTGGTTTGCCCCCACAGCAGCGGCTGAAGCTGGGCTGTCCTGGCACCAGGAGTCGGAAACTTCCGTGTGGGTTCATGGGCCCAAGTGCTTGGGCCATCTTCCCAAGCACATTAGCAGGGAGTTGGATCAGAAGTGAGGCAGTTGGAGTGCTAACCAGACATACCCATATGACAATGCCCTCTAGGGTGCTGGCCCCTTGGTTGTGTTTTGTAAGTATTAGGATGCAGGTTACACTGGTTTCATTTCCTTTGGATATGTTCCCAGGTGTGAAAAGGCTACATGTAATGGTTGATCTGTTTTTAGTTTTCTAGGTAATTCCTGTGCAGTCTTCCATAATGATTGTAACCATTTATTTTGCCACTAGCAGTGTAATAGGGTATCTTTTTCTCCACATTGGCACCAACACTTGCCATTTTTTGATTTTTGGATGATAGCTATTCTAATTTAGGATATGGTGATGCCTCATTGTTATTTTGATTAGCATTTTTCTGGTAGCTAGTGATCCTGAACATCTTTTCATGCGTCTGTTGGCTAGTGAAAATGAGAGTTTGTATCAGGACCCAGCACAAAGGCTCTGTTGGCTGGTCTTCCCTTTGCAAGCAGCAGGATCCCATATGGGTGCCTGTTTGTGTCCTGGCTGCTCCACTTCCCATCCAGCTCCCTGCTTGTGGCCTGGGAAAGCAGAGGAGAGGCCAAAGCCGTGGCATCCTGCACTCATGTGGGAGACCCAGAGGAGGCTGCAGGCTCCTGGGTTTGGTTTGGCTCAGCTCTTGCTGTTGTGGCCATTTGGGGAATGAGTCTTCGGATGGAAGATCTGTTTCACCTTTTTTGTAATTGTAAAGAAATAACATTTAATCTTTATAAGTTTGTATTAAATGATGGAAATAAACTATCCTGTTCTCTGCAATATCATTTTCATCCCTTTTCCCAAATACTACCTCCTAAGTGGCCTGTTTGCCCTGTAGTGGTTTCCCACATGTACTGCCGAGTAAGTTTTCTGTTTCTGACTGTAGGTGAAAAAAACAAACATAAAATCCATAACTTCTGATTGTGAACTCTAAATTTCTACTGTATTATGTATGTGTCTTTGGGCCATGAGTTTTGAGGGTTTTCTCACTGTATATGTAACTCTGATGTGTCTAAGTTCGAAATACTTCATGTGGGCACTTGCATGCAAACACACTCACACACACACACACACACACACACACACACACAGAGCCTTTTAGAACATTGGATCTGAAGGTGCCGACCAGTTACAAGCTGGCTTGTCTACAGCCAGCCGTTACAACCACCAGGTGTCCACTGCGTGTTAATAGTTTGTTTCAAATTTCCCAGCTGGTTGTGGGCTGCTAACTAGATCTATGTATCCAGTGACTTGGAAAATGGAATCTTGGAGTAAAACCCTGTGTGACCTTGCTTGCCCTTTCTCTTCCTTTCACATGGACCCTCCTCAGTTGCTTGCTTAGATCGCCCGCTTTCCAGGGTGTCAGGTCAGGTGTGCCTGCTACTCTGTGCTTAGACCCGATGAATTGAAATCCTGTTTTCGTGTCTTCTTTGGTCCATATTTAAAAAAATGTAACTGTGTGCTGTCATTTTCAGTTAGTATATTGCATAAATTCATTTTATATTAAAGGGCATTTGCTGTGAAATTTTAGTCTTTCGTATTTTCTAAGTTATGCTAATATAAAATATATTCAAGAGCATGTGGAATATTTGTCACTGCGTGGTGACAGTCAGGGAGCTTATTTCTACATCATGTCCTCAGAATTTTAATTTTGTGGTGTTACTTGCTGTAGCATCAGACCTTGCTATAAAAATGCTGTCTTTAGGATTTTGTCCACTTTTGCATTATGCCTTCAACTGTAAATTTTTAATGAAGGGAAATTTAGTTTTAATCTCACATCAAGAAAATTTCATCTCACTCCTGAGGAAAGTACATTCTTCTGGGAAATTTTGTTTTAGGCTAAATATTATGTCCCCAATCGTTTCTTTAATAAATTCATCCATTCCTCTTACCCCCTGCTCTCACCAAGGTTTTGTGAAACCTGAGGTTTCTAGTCTAGAATGCATTGCTGCTAAAATTAGAATATCTGGAAGCCCAGGCTTTATGAAAGGGCTGTCAGCAGCCATGTTAGATAAGCAAATTACTTTGTCCTGTGTCCCTGCCCTTTCTCTTAGGTTTGTGTTGGGGTTGCTCTTTATCCTTGTTCAGGAATGCTGTGTAGTTCTTTTGAGTCTGAAAAGGAGAGAGTGATGAAGTTGGTGGCTTAGCAGGGGTAGGCAGTTCAAGGTGTAGTAATTAAAGACTTTGGAGAGTAGATATCCCCACCTTCTAATTAGAGAAGGTGTGAACTACAGGTGACTGTAAATTGGAACGATTCAGTTGGAACAGAAGACTGGGTACCATGATCCAGCAGGTTCATCCTTTCTTGGTTCCTGAGAGCTTTCTTGCCCTTCAAGCGGACAACATTGGAACTCCCAGATTCCACTTAAATACCGATTGTGCCTGTGTTGGCGCCCAGAAGTGGACTTGGATGACCTTTGCCGCGGCCTTGACAGTGACTGGGGATACCAAGGAGGTGGACTGCTTGTTTTTGGGATTCTAGTGAAGAAATGTTTTGGAGGTGCTTGAGAAAACTAGACATGACGTCATTAAAGCCAAGGGTAGAGTTCCTTCCTACAAATAGCAGAAGGACTTTTAATGTCTTCCGCACATTACGAGTTGAGACATTATAGCCACAACCTGTGTCTGGTGTAAAAAGGAAATGCTGTAGGGAAGTCCTGTGCACGAGGCCAGGGTGCCATAGGGCCTCTGTTTCATGTTGCACTGTTCCATTTCCTGTGGAGCTTCCTGCTGACGGCCTGGGGAAGGCAGTGAAGATGGCCCAGGCCTGT